CAACCAACCAACCAACCAACCAACCAACCAACCAACCAACCAACCAAGACCTTTCTGTAACAAAACTTGTCTTTCAGGCTCTCCTCCAGTTAAGCGAGGCGAAGGAGCATTGATTAATTCAACATATAACCACACACATGGGGATACATAGGGTAATGCTCACACACACACACACACACACACACACACACACACACACACACACACACAGCAGGAGGCAACGTTTTGTTAGCTCTGCCTCCGATAGCAGCCACTTACTATGAACTTCCCTCGAGTGTCAAAATCGAAGTAATCCTCGGGTAAATCCGACGTAATAAAACTGGAGGTGTTTTACGGTTTTGAATATAATATGAAAAGCTGAAAATTGCCCTCAGTTAGAAGCCTAGGTGGAGGGGAGGATTTTCACGGGGCAGACAAACTTTATTACCATAAGTAAGATTTTTACCATTTCACATCAGTTCTTTTGGCATTTGCGAACCCTGGGTTTTTAGACAATGAAAATGGAGGAAGCGAGGTTGTCAAGGCTTATAAAGAGAAATACTGATAAAGGAGATAAATGAGATTCGTGAGTTTACAGGGCTGGCCTTCTACCATGAAATGCACACAGTATTTTACAGGAAAATATCTGCTTTCTCAAATGTAGGCTTTGTGCATTATTTTTTAATTGTAATTTTAAATTTAAAAGGCTTTAGTGATAATTGCTATTTAGGGGTTAGGATTTTTTTTTAAAGTGGTACAGACCCCTTTTAATAATGTATTCCAGGGTACTCATACACTTGGACCTATGTACTCTTTATAATATATCCCATAGTTTTCTGAGATAAATAACCCATTTTTCTTCTTAAATATTTTAGGTGCAGACCGCCAGCACTGCGACCTGGCTGGCAGCTCCTCCATCTGTACCAGGCACTGGCATAGCCTGCTGAGGTCTGTGTAGACAGATGTACACACACTAGCAAGCATTTCGATTAAAGTGGGAGTCACCCTAAGCCATTAATATCTTGCATTCATGGTAATACTGTCCCGAAGTAAACTCACTTGAAATTAAAATGCATCGGAATTTTATAATCAGTTAAAGTGTCTGAATTCGTTCTTATCTCTGGTTTATAGTTTCTGAAAGTGCACTCACACAAACGAGTAAAACTTTCCTTATTTCTTTTGTTCAGATGGAGATGCGATGGTGAAATAATTAAAAATTTTTATAATTAAAATTTAGCCTTTAAGGGTAAATTGAAATGAGCTAAAGTAGCAGTTCCTAACCTCTGGGTCACACCCTTCTGGCAAACCTCTATCTCCAAAATTATTTGTGTTAGGATTCATGGCAGGAGCAAATTTACAGCTGTTAAGTAGAAACAAAAATGATTTTATAGTCGGGGGTCACCATAACATGAAGAACTGTGTTAAAGGGTCACAGCCCTGGGAAGGTTGGGAACCACTGAGTTAAAATAATAACAAATCATTGTGTACAAGCTCGTAAGTGTTCCCATGGAAGCCAGGTAACAGAACGTCCCATTTCTGTGGAGTGAATGGGGGGATTTTTATCCCCAGCTGGGCCTGATCTGGAAACTATTCCTCTGGGCCTAAAGCCCCACACAGCACCTTTGTGAGTCTCAGAAGTCTGTTGCTGCTCTTCTTTGTTTTTTGAGAGTGACTCTGACTACTTATCCCATGTTGGCCTAGACCTTTCATCTGTGTTGTCCTGTGTCCATCTTTTGAGTGTCGGGGTTATGGAAGCCACCATCCCAAGACCCTTTGTCAGGTCTCTAACCAGGTAATGCTTCATTAGGCTTTTTGCTGCCCCCCCCCCGCCCCATGTGACCCTGGGCTGAGACAGAGGACAACTCTGGCCCAGTGTGAATGCCTCTTTCATTTGCTCTTCCCTCTCTCTTTCTCTGTTCCTTTCTGTAATGATTCAAGGGGTGGGAATGCTGGTCATGCTCCCGACACATGCTTCAGGACTTCACCCTCAGGGTTGTTTGGGGAAGATCATATTGTAGTCACGCGCCCTTCATCTTTCCCATCTGGGCCCTCTGCTGTGGACCGCTTAATAAGCACCCGTCTTTTAGAGGGTTACTGCCTTTTAAAATGAGATCTCCTCTCCATCCCTGATGTCAGCATAGTGTCAGAGTAAGCGTTCCTAAAATTGAATACCTATCGCATTAACAATAAAGCGATGACTTAATGCTGTAATGAACAGCAGGGATTCAACAGCATAGTTTAAGCACACAGTAAAAGAGGGCAGTCGCTAGGTAAATAATAACATTTTATGTGAGTATTTCATATTTAACATTTATAGCCAGTTCTAAATGCATAAAACCAAGCTTCTTTCTATCCATATTTTATCTTTGTAATAGAGCAAGTATGATGCAAATAAGTTTCCATTTCTAAAAAATAAAATCATGAAGCCTTATTGTTCTTATTTGGTAGAGAAAAGGTCAAAGCAGAACAAAAGAGGCAGTGCATTTCTAAGACAGTCTTGAGACATAAAAAGTCACACTGGATCACCTAATTTGACTAGCTAGGTTTATAGTTTTAAATAATCACAAAGATGAAGTGACTGAATTAAAGTCACCCAGCTCATTAATAACTACAGATAAAGTAAAAAGCTTTCTGAACTCTTTAGATCTCCTCAGAAAAGATTCTTTGTGAAGTATTTTGAAAAGGTTTTCTTTATTTATCTGAGGGTTGTGAATATGAAAAGTCCTTACATTGTTACAAAAGATGATGTCTTAGACCAAATCCTAATGCATTTGAAGTCTTTAACTCAAACTACAAAATGCCAATATTTAATTACCTGTGCTGTAACTGAAATTTCATTCATGTTGAAGTGCATTTCTTCATTATAAAGGACAAATAAAATATGAATGAAGAAGGGCTAGAAAGACCTTATATATTTTGGTTTTGGAAAAGTCATAATTTAAAAAGATAAAGAACCTAACTTTCTAATACTACAGTAATAATGAGCATGAATATCAACTTGTATAATGTGCTGATGTAATTCTATATTATTATTTGTTTCTACAATAAAGTTGGCTAGCGCTTTTATTATTTTCCTGGAAAGACCTAAATCAGACACATCATAGTGAATTTTCTTTGGTCCCCCATTAATAACTTGCTGCAAAGTCTATGCTTATAGTTGACTGCTCATGGATTATATTCCACTGTCTTGCTAGAAAATGCAGAATAGGCAGAATCAGAAAGCTCATATTCCAGCCCAACACAACAGAGCTCCTATCAGAAGATGGGGGCACAGGTTTCAGATGCAAAACGAATGCAACACAGAAGGCCTCACAGACGGAGGGAGCATTTCTGCATCTTCACAGAGCAATAAAAAGAAAACTGTAAATGAGGGACTGGAAAGGGGGAAATACACATAGAACAGAAGGAGCTGTCGGTGCTGGAGTAGATGATCACTCAATACCATCAAGTCTGAACTTCACCTTGACCGTGGGATACGTTTAAAGCAGACCACGGAGGTGATCAAATGGTCCAAGTTTTCTAATGATGTCCTGCCTTCACTTGCATTCCTGTCTTCATCCTTGTCCTCTGCTGAATTTCCCACCACACCTGCACATGTCTTGGGATACTGCAGGTCCGGTATCCCATTAGGTCTTTCATAACCTTCCTTTTATTTCCTCAGACACAAGTTTTAGGAAGCCAGTACATTTTTGTTAAAACAAATGAATATTTTTCATGTCTTTATCACTATGTACAATTATTTTAAAGAATGTATATTTTTAATGAAAATTTTTCTACTGGCGAGCATTATTTAGTCATGGGTTAATTAAGTACTGACTTGGATTCCATGACAAAAAAAAATAGGAATATCAGATGATGTCATATCATGTATTGATCATTTTAATGGCCATTTTATGAGGAGCAGCAGGGGTCAGGAACTGTTTTCACGCCTGGCAGTAGTAATAATTCATTCCAGGATTAAACAATATTTACTCAACTCAGCTGAGCCTAATAAATACATTAACTAACAAACACAGTTAAAATAAATGATGCTTTGATCTTAAAACATTTTAAGCCAGGCTGGAGCAAAAGCTCAGACATTAAGAGCAGCGGCTGCTCTCCCAAAGGTCCTGAGTTCAATTCTCAGCAACCACACAGTGGCTCACGGCCATCTATAATGATACCTGGAGCCCTCTTCTGGCATGAAGGTGTACATGCAGACAGAGCACTGTATACATAACAAATAAATCATTAAAAAACAAAGCAAAGCAACAAAAAACAAAATATTTTAACCCTTTGCTTGTCTGTATGTGTGCTTTCATCAAAGCCCTAACCAAAAAGCTAAGAATCTGGGGAAGGACTCGTACTGTTGTTACTCTGACCTTGAGGAACTTCACTAGGCTGGAGTAACAGAGACCCTAAGTCATTTTATACGGGGTCTGAGGTTCAATGTCATTCGAAGTTATGAACTCAAGTTGCCAAACTGAAAAAAACAACAAAAAAAAGGAACTCTCCCCAACTCTGATTGCTGCCAACTACTCTTACTTAATGAGATGCCCTTGCCATGGACGCTGGTGGTGTAGACCCATATTTTCATGTTGGTAACTTTCAAATATCATCCTCCTTTCAAGGAAAGCCGGAAAGCAGAGCCTCCCAGCTCTTCAGCCCACTTACCAACTCAACCTGAAGGCTTAATTCCCTGGCAGAAAACAGTGAGCATCATTATCCAGCATTGGCCTCTCAGATAGAGAGGGGGAGTGTGGATTTTATTCTCTGCTGGTCCCAAGTGATGTCTGAAGAGTGTGTTGGTGATAGAGTGGTGAGCATAGCTGCCTTCCTGGTAGTGTCTGATAATGTTGGATGTGATGTCCAACTCATTGTTTTTAAATGAAAATAAAACCGATGCCACCAATAGGGTGGACACCACCTTCTGAGGATAGTGTTGTTTGAACGCCGTTTTTACGTGAGTAGAAACGTATTGCCGACTTGGTCAACTGCCGATTGAGGCAGAGATAAGCAATCTGCACGTGGGAAATGAACAGGCTGAGAGTCCTCTGCTCTTATCCATCAAGCATAGTAGTAACCGCCCCCTGAGGTTTGCTCTCCACATTTTCAGTCACTCGTGGTAGATTGTCATCCACGATATTAAAAGAAAACTTTGGACTAGAGAATTGCTAAGTTTTAAATTACATATTATTCTGCGCAGCATGGTGAAGCCTGCCCCTCCCACCTCTGCTCTGCCTTAACCACCCATCAGCCATTCTCCCTGCATCCTTGCTGCCCTGGGAGCATCCTCCCATTCATGTGACAGCCTTCTGTTGGGGGGACCTTGTTTCAAGTAACCTTCGTTTTACTTAATAAAGACCCCGAAGGTGTAAGTGTGTGATGCTGGAAATCTATCTTGCTGTAACAAGTGGATTCCATCGTTTCTGTTGCCGCTCTTCATTTGTAAAGCATATTATAAACATGTGAGCACAGTGAGAAGGCAGCATGCAGACATACATACATACAGACGTCCATACGTACAAAATTAACACATCAGGAATTCCCTCTGTGAGTGATGTCCTGGTTGCCGACTGGAGGTCTTTGAACTATTACTCACAACAAAGGTGACAGTGCCATAATCCATGGGTGATTTAAAACTCTTGCACCATAATAACTATAGTAAATTGGCACATATGGGTCAGGTCAGATCTATTAAGTACAATGATGTCTTCAATTAAATATATATTTATATATTATAAAATAAACTGAAGAATATTAAAGGCCTTTTATAAGAGCTCAGCTGAAAGCAACAAAAGGTGACTGTTTTTTTTTTTTTTTTTTTTTTTTTTTTTTTTTTTTTTTTTTTTTTT